TTAACTCTAGACAAAATACACCTTGTGCTTTAACAAACCCAGGGCAATATGTGCTCATGTCATGTTTACAAGGTCTCCTGTGAATACACTGTGGCTTAATTTTTCCTCAAATTACGAAAAGTATCCAGAACTGAACTTGCCTACACTTTTCCTTTTCTTCTCTTTGTTTTCTGCAAAGTTAAGGCAAGTACAATCAACATTGCAAAATCCACAACTCTATTGCTAACTGTGCAGCATTCATAGTCATATGTGGTTTTTCTTGGTTGTATAAACTTGAGTACAGAAAGCAAAAATGTGCAACACCTGCTACAATTGGGTAGCTTAAGTGGCAAGTATTTCATCAAGTGTATAGTATGTTAATAAAAAGAAAAGAGGATTACTCTGGTTTTAGAGTAAATAATATCCTATACAGAATGTGTGTTATTTTCATAAGTCATTTTCTCTTTGTCTTTCTATTACTCAACTCAAATTTTATATGTATATCAGCTGCACCCAATTAAACTTCTGCTAAAATGTTTGAAACTGAATCCGCTAACTTCTAGGTAGAAGTGAGTGGCCATAACATGGCTAATCAATCTCCTATGCAATGCCACAACATTGTACTAATACTACTTTGGAAATATGAAAAAGATAATCTGAGATGGATGAACTTGTATAAGTTGTTCTTTGTTCAATCAAAGTATAGGATCTTTGGACCTAATTTAAAATATGTCAGGTGCCATAAAATTTGATAAAACAGGAAATATTTTTGGTCAGATCACACCTAGTAATTTTATTTCTTGGTGAGTTAAATAGTTCTAGTGTCAGCTTATAAGACCAAGTATAAATGGAAGTAAAATAAATCTTACCCATTTTGTAAAGTTTTTCCTGTTGCAGTGTGGAAGTTTACATACGTTTACACATCAAATCCTATTTTAGTACAACTTTAAAATTCTAGTTTATTAACAGCTGGTTAACATCTAAGCACCTGGACATCTATAGACTTGACAGATTGAACAGTTTATATTCAAATAAAATTTGTATCTAGGTGTAAAATGTTGAAACAACTGTACAGGATATACCATAATATCTGGTGTATAGATAGCATATTCATGCAGAATTTTAATAATCCCCAGCACTGAGATTGTAACGTATGCTGCCTTAACAATGCAGGTACTGATTTTGAACCAGTTTGTGTTTTAGAGTGATATGGGCTACCAGCAGTAATTGATTCCCAGCAGGTCCACAATACTTAACTGTATTGCAAAAAGCTCCATTCACCACTTTTAGAACTGCATTGACATTTTTATCATGTCAGTAAAGTGCTGGTTGCCTTCTTCTTCTTTATTAACATAAAAAAAAAACAATATTCTAGCAGACAACTGGTGATCTCTAAACATTTCAATAAAAAAAAGTTTTAAGCCTAACCAAGAACTGCAATTACAGTGCACACCAAACATTATTAGCCTGAAACTACCGCCTTCAATTAGTTTCATCCCATGAAATCCAATGATCTCAATCATTCGCAGACAAGCAGGTTCAATTTGAAGTTTTAGTACAGTTTATGTTTCAATGGGATCTTCCTTTGACTCAAGCACAGTATAATTGATTGGTATATGGGGCTTAACTCAATTTATAATTCAAGTGGCAAATCTTGAACATTACTTCTGCAATAATGTGTTCTATACACAGGATTTTACAGCATTTAAGTTGGAAAAAAATTAGTGCTACTAAATCAATAAATTAAATGAAATAAATGAAATTAAATTCATTTGACACACCTCCTACAGTATTTTGCTTTATTAATTGACTTTAATGATTCATGAAGACATATGTAAACTATAGCTACTGAATGCTTAATAACATAATATTGATGTTACTATTACAAACAATTAAAGATGGTCGAATGGGAAAATGTTAGAGCTAATATTACATTATTTCTACAACAAAAAATGATTAATTTATTAAGGTTCCATGGTTTTATGTGTTTTACTCTACTCCTTTCGAAAATAAACTGTTCTCCAAGTTCAAATCTTCGTCAAGTTGTCACAGAATCATAGAGTGATCCAGCGCAGAAGGAGTTCCTTCGATTTGATTGTTCCTTGGCTGACTCTTTGAAAATGTTACCTAATCAGTCTCACTCTCCTGAATTTTCCCCAAAAGACTTGCAGGTTTTAAAGTAATTATTCAATTCCGTTTTTAGTTATTATTAATTCAGTTTCTCCATCACCCTCTCAGATAACACATTCTCGATTATAACAACTAATTGTATATTTTTTCCCTCCTCTCTGATTCTTTTGCTAATATCCTAAATCTGTCTTCTCTGCCTAACAATACTCCTGCCACTGAAACCATATTCTCTTTATTTACTGTATCAAAATTCTTCAAGACTGTGAATAACTCTATTAAATCTCCTTTTAAACCTCTCTGCTACAGGGAGAAAACCACAGTTTCTTTGCTATAGAAAAGAAATTACTGCAGATGCTGGAAATCTGAGATGAAAATACGAAATTGATAGAAATACTCTTGCTGTTTTTATCAGAGTTCCTGGAGTCTCTCCATATATCTAAAATCTTACATCCTTGCTGGCTTTTCAGTAAATCACCTTTGCTTTAATGTCTTCTCTGAAGTGCAATGCCCAGAACTGATCAGAACAATCTAGCCTGAGGCCGAACCAGTGAGTTATCACGTTTATCACGATTTCCTTGTTTTTTGTTCTCTATGCCAAGTGTAAAAAATGCCCTCTTAACTTACCCTGTCTTGCTCAAAAATTTACATGCTCAGGTTTCTCTGTCACTGCATTACATTAAAACAATACTATTTTGGTTATATTACCTCACCTCCTTATTCCTGCTAAACATACTCTTTAAACTTCACGGTGTTAAATTTCATTTGCCGTGAGTCAACCCATTTCACCAGTTTATGTCCTCTTGATGTCTGTTGTTATCATCACTGTTTATTGCTTTGCAAGTCTACTTCAACTATAAGCACATAAACAATGCTCTATATATCTATACCTCAATTATTAATATAAAAATAATTTAATCCTGACTGCTGGGGTACACTTTGGTATACCTCCCTCCAATCAAAAAAATATAAATGTTCAACTCTAATCTCTGTCTTCTGTTTCTTAGTTAATTTTGATCACTGTAACACTGCCACTTAAATTCCAAGGGCTTCAATTTTGCTAAGTCAGTTATACGGTACTTTATACTTCATCAAAAATCTTTTGAAAGTCTGTATACATGTCAACCCCATGCTCTTCATTACTCCCTCACATAACTCCATAACAGTGATCAAACTCAGTTTATTTTTAACAAGTCCACGTTGTCTTTCATTTACAAACACATACATTTCCAAAAATCGGTATGTTGCAGGATACTGCCTCAAACATTTCCCATCATTAATGTTAGTCTGATTGGCTCATAATTGCTTGCTTCATCCCTCTTCTATATTTGAGTAAGAATGTAGCATTTATAATTTTTCAAGCTCTGCTATCACATCCGTATTTTAGAAGAATTGGAAAATTGTGACCAGAGCCTTCATAATTTCCACTCTTACTTCCCTTAGCAATCCAGTATTAATCCGATCAAGTACAGCTGACTTTTCTAACTTGAGCCATTCTAACATTCTAAGTACTTTGAATTTATCTAATTTTCTCTTATCCAATTCTTCAAATACTATCTTATTTTTACTGTGGTAGCATCCTCTTCTTTCATGTAGACAGATGCAATTGCATATTTAGTGCCTCACTTTGTCTTCGTTAAAGATTTCCTTTTTAAGTCCTTAATCAATTCCATCTTTCTTTTAATTACTGTTTTACTGAGTCCAGTTTTAGAAAAGATATTTGGGTTACCTTTATGTTACCTGTTAATCTATTTTCATCCTCTCTCTGTCTGTCTTAGTTTCTTTTTCAACTCTTCCCTACATTTTTGGATTCAGCTTCCTTCTTTACTAAGCTTTTGTGCCTGATATTTTTCATAAATCTCTTTTTCATTCTTTTAAACAATCTCTATTTCTTTGGGCGTCTGAGGACTTCCAGCTTTGCATGCTGTTCCTGTCACACTGTGGAAATGCATCTAAGTTGTACCTGAACTCTTCGAAGTCCCCCACTTCACCCTGTTCCTCATTACACCTGTAATCCACCTGGGCCAATTCTCTTTTCAACATTCGCTAAGTGAACATTTTCACTCATTCGTTTTTCAGTAGGAAAGCCATTGGTCGAGCACCTGAATGTCCAAAGGTTTGATCCTAGTGAATATCCACACCTATAATCAATCAAATCATAAGTGTGATAAGTTTTGTTATTTGTAGCTTGGCATACTGAAGGTGTGCCAAGCACCTCTGCCACAATCAACTGAAAACATCAGGAACTGTGGAGGAAAGGCTTTCTTTTAATATTCAGAAGGTGTATGAATGTAAAAGCGAACATTAATGAAGAAAATGAATATGAGGGATGTGAATAATGAGAGCAATGCCAAATGTATGGCTTTATTTTTTAAGTGCTTATTGGCAAGTTAGTAATGCTAAACAAATGTGCAATTTTCTGTTTTAAAATCCTAATCTAGAACTTGTGGGACTTCTTGGATTGTACAATATGTTTAGTTGCATCTCCTTCTCCAAATAGGAAGGCTTTTGTTACAAGTATCATGCCTTGCTGGTTGCCCTATGTCTAACGAACACTTGGCAGTAGAAGGATTATTATTAAGAGCTACTGATTGTCTATAATAAGAAAGCATGCTGCTTCTGTGAAAAAATATCTACCATGTGTTTTCAAAGAAAACATGCTGCCAGAAGAGACTGCTATGCTTTTTGGTATTTAGGCTTTGAACGACATAAAAAGGGATGAAATAAAGTGAAGTGGCAATGGCACTTTCTTTTAAGGTTCTGAGAGAGTAATGAATCTGAGAGTAACCTATATAAAACAACCTAAATAATCTGACCCAAAATCAGTGATTTAATGCTCTGGGGAGACGTAGCTGAAGTTACCACTATGGGAATGAATGAAGATGACAACAACATTTGAAAATAATAGTTTTAATTTTAAAATACGGACAAGCAAGCCTGGTGCTTTTTGTCGTCCCTACATAACAAACTATGACATAAAGAGTGTATCAAGGCATTAGAAACCACTATACACTGGCCCACAAGTAAATAACAAAAAAAGCCGACGAATGGAAAAAATACATAAGCGTACAAACGTTATAAAAAGTAAGAAACATGCTGCCCTAATGCCCATGTGATCTGACTTTGAAAACCAATGTTTTCAGTTTCAGTCAAAACACAAAAAAAACTCAAGATATTTTTCTTCTGAAATATCATTTATTGTTTTAGAGGTAGAAATGGCCCTAACCATCTTTAGACAAAGTATTTAAGCAAAAAAAATCTTTTTTTTTTCTAATCATTACTGTGGGAATTGTGCACTGAGTCAACATTAAAAAAAAATCCTTCGTAGAGTGCATTTTCCAGTAAAATGAACCACATCTCTGCACAATTTTCTCATGAATGTGGAAGACTAATTTACCATTGTAAAAGGGCATAATTTACTTAGGACACCTTGATAATAGGTTTTTTCTGTTAATCGTAATTATGAGCTTATTTTTGTAAGCAGATGCCTTGCTTTCAACACCACCCACGATGAATATCTGACAAAAAGGGGAATTTATTATTAATTAGGTAAAGTATAATTATCTTGTGATCATGAATGGTTTGAGCTAGGACTATATCTACTTCACCTCATAAAGTTCTACTTAATAGTTGTCGTCAGCAATAACGATCAGAATGTTCTTTCGATAAATATCTGAACTTGAAGGGGTGCCTCAGACTGACTTGATATGGTATTGACATGGAAACATCACCTACAATATACACTTTAGCTTTCAGTGTCTCTGATATATAATGCCTACGGCTTAATATGTAACGTAACAATGCACACGCCCTCAACAAATCACATTTCAGAAAACTGACCGTGGCTTGAAAGCACTTTCATTTATCCGGAATGAAAAGTTGAAAAAAAGATCCTCACACATTTATCTCACAATCTTGCAAAAGCATCCCAACAAGGTGTCAAAACCAAGCCATTTCCATCTCCATCAATCATGAAAAAGCATGTCTTTTTTTTCTTTCTCTATATGACATGGTTATGCTTGCCAGTTTCTTTAAAAATTCTGAAAACAGTTCTAATAACATAGAACATAGAAAACAATCATAAATGTAGTAGTGACAGGCAAGAATAGAACAGGAAGACTCTGATGTTACAAACAAATCAATTATCTACAAGACCCTGTGTTTTCATATTTCTTTTTGTATAACAGCAGCAGTCAAGGCCATGGTCCCAGGCACCGGACTGTGTAACCTGAAGAGGTTCAAATCACCCCACTAGTTGTTACCAAATGACACTGGACATACTGGTCTCCCTTGGCAGAAGTGGTAGTACTGCACTGTTTGTGTGAACCTCATCTGGAGTTTGCTCCTTGTTTATTTTATTATTGGGCCTCTGCCCATTTATAAGTGTCATGGGGATGTTGCAGTATGTGTGTTGATTACCCAATGAGGTAAAGGGCATGATGCCGCTAGTGGGAGGTACATCATACTCGTAGCTCCGATAATAATGCTTGTGCCGCATCTGAGTGTGGTAGGTGTTGTGAAAGGTAGAGCGTAGGTCCGGATGGGCAGTGGCCAGAGCGGTGGAGGTTGCTGCTGCCATGGAGATGGCAGACACTGTCTGCAGTTCCCCAAATGGGCCCTGTTCGCTAGCATCCAAAACCTGCTCATTAGAGATCGGCTCTATCCTCTTAAAGGGCATCTCATACTGTAAACGTTTCCAAAATTTGGAATCCAGTTTGTTGCATTTAGGTCCTTTCCACTTGATAACCGTAAGAAGCTTGATCATATGTTTGAGGGCCTCAATCTCCTGATAGTTTATAATTCCCCGAAGTTCACTGCATTCAATTAATATCACTTTAATTTCACCCGTGACTAACATGTTGCGCAGTCTGGTTTCCAGTTCAAAGATACTCCAGCCTCGCCTTATGACATAATTCGGGGTCAGAACGATAATTAGTCTCTTGCTTTGATCAATGCATCGTGCCACATCTTCAACATATGCTGAAAATAAAGCAGTACATCTCAATTTACAAGTGATAAGAATCCTTGCTCATATAAATTGGTTTACATTGTAATGACATGCATAACACTAGACCCAATTTGTCACTGAGGATGGCTACCTCCAGACATTGTACAAAAACACCTTGCAAAGAAATGAAGGAAGGTTTCCTCAGCTTGTTACCAGTTGTAAAATTTGAAATGCATATAAACAAGAAGATATAATTACGTTCAAATTTTTGTCCAGAAGAAATATCTTCATCCCCACAAGTTTTAATTCATTTGCATGGAATGAAAATATCTCAAGAAGAGAGAGGAACTTGGGTCAGAACAAATAATACAACACAATGCATCTAATATTTAGTTTAGTGCCAGATTTTTGCTCTTTGCTTTTGCTTTTGTGTGACTCCTTCCTGAGGATGAATCAATATTTAATTGTTTTAAATGTGCTCCCATTTTTGATCTAAAAAACCCAATTACAGTATTTTTCAGGTCAGCAATAAAATAAATACAGGTGTCAATGAATGTCACAGCAATGAACAAATCATCATCTGACAATTTCTCACAATTCAAGAAGGGTTACTTTGAAGTCCATTTTTGACAGAGCAAGACTGTGTAGAATTTAAGTCTCACTGTTGTGTGGAAAACCAGCATAGGCAGAATGAACCCAGCGTACAGGGAAAATAGGCACTACCTTTCGTGGGCAGCATATCTACTTCAGTTTTCCCCCTACCCCCGGGGCTGGAATTCAAAATTTGCCCTCATTTCAATCACCTCTTTTCTGACTAGTAACGTATTTCTGTATTTTCTTCTGTTAAATTTACTTGAGAGAAGAGAAATCACAAGACTACTCAACCCTTTTAAATCCACACTATACAGGATTTCATGATTTTTTCCACCATGGACTTCTGCAAACACATGATCGCCACACTTTTTGTCTCACTACGAGAGGCTCAGGCTATTTTAACTTCAAAAGACAGGCCCACCTCCCAATGGAATCTAGGATTGATGGATCGGGTGGCATGAGGCTGGCTGGTGGGAATAAGGTGAGGCTGCCTGGAAATGCAGATAAGCATCGACTGACATGCTTGCCAGCAAGAGAGCTAGCCATATTCCCGAGCTGGTGATCACAGGAATCTTGGTGCAAGGCAGAAATAAGCATTTCAAGAATGTCTTAGATACTAAAGAAACTCTTAAAAAACAAAATGATTTTGCATTTTCAGGAACTGTTGATTCTCAGCATCAGGGTTCTCTGGTGAGTTTAGCACCAGACCCTGACTCTGTCGCTGCCACTTATAATGCAGTCAGAGTCTGAAGGGCATCATGAAATTTCAAGTGTTCAACTTCAATTCTTCTCTCATTTGTCCGGAGCAAACACTTCACACGCTGCCTGAAATGCAGCTACTAAAATGATGAAGGGTCTGAGTGTGACAAGAGTCTTTTTAAAATTAACTTCTGGAATGTGGGCTTCACCGGCTGGGCCAGCATTTACTATACATCATTACTCTGGTGAGTATTATTCTATCCCGTGTAGTCCTTGGTTCGATGACAGCACCCCTACCTTTGAGTCAGAAGATTTGGAGTTCAAGCCCCACTCCAAAAGCTGAGCACGTAATTCAAGCTGACATTTCAACGGGCACTGAAGGAATATCAGAGATGCCATCTCTCAGGTAAGATGTTATACGACAGACCAATCTGCTGTTTCATGTACTATAAAGGATCTTGTGTACAATCCAGCAACAGTACACAGTAGACTACACTGAGTCACATAAGGAGACATTAGGACAGATGACCAAAAAACTTGGTCAAAATGATGGGTTTCAAAGAGATTTTTTCCAATGCTTTAGTGAACACCCCCTCTCATCTCATTTCCACCACCACAACTTTATTAACTGCTTGGCCTGTTGGAGCATTGAGAGGTTGTGAAAATACTATATAAAAACCCAATTTTCTTTTCTTTAACACTAATATTTTCATTTCCAATGCACACTAGAAACAATACATAAACACTGTCCACAAAAACATTCCAGCACAATGAAGTGATAATGTTTTCTGGTAGGAATTCATAATATCTGAACAATGTAAATTAGAAAAAAGGCTGTACATGAAATATTTTTCAGAATTTTGATTATGTTAAAACAAACATACATGGTGTGTTGTCACTAGATGCCAATAGTTTATGTTGCAATTATTTCGGAGCATTTCAAAGTGAGCCGATCATATTAAATTACAACTAAAACATCAAATTTGTTCGAATTGTCACGATTGATGAAATTAGCTTGAGTGAAATGACTATAAAGGGCTATAAATAGAGAAGCAGCGGCAAGCACTTAAAGAAATATTTCATAATTCTCAACAAAGATATGCTCTATTGAGAAACAATGACCCTTTGAGAAGGATGCACCACTTCTGGCTAACGAAGGAAGTTAAAGATGGTATCAAATTGGAAATAATGATCTGCAATGTTGCAAAGATTAAGGTTGCAAAGGTTAAGGAAGTTTTTGGGAAGAAGCAAAGGATGACTCAGAAACAAGAGAGAGAAATGAGAGAAAACTAGCAAGAGAAAGAAAAACAATAAAAGCTGTTGCACGTATGTAAAAGGAAGCATGTCAGTGCAACTAAAGTGAGCATTGGTGCCTTAGAGTGTGAGACTGAAAAAAATGGAAATAAAAAGAAAAGGCGAACAAAAATTTTGTATCAATTTTCACAGGAGAAGATGTAAAAATTATCTGCAAAACAGTTGAACAGCAGTTGGCAAAAGAGAGAGGAACTTACAGTCATGGTTGTTTAATGAAAAGAAGTTTTGAATAAACTAAAGGCTGACACGTTGACTAAATCTCATGGTGTGCTTCCTAAGGCCTTAAAAGTAGTTGCAGAGATACTGGTTGTAACTTTCCAAAATGTCCTTGTTTCTAAAAAAAAGTCCCAATGAACTCACAAATCACAAATATAACACTACTATTCAAGACAGGGTGCAAGGGGGAGCTAGAAATTAGACAACTATAACTCACTAAATTTGACATTTGACACTGGGAAAATGTTACAATCACTTAGTTAGAAAATAGTATCAGGATGTCAGAAAATTATAAAGGGATGTATAACGTAGAAAATCAAGTAGAGTCACACATTCCTATGAAAGAGAAATTATGCTTGAGAGATTTCTTGGCATTCTTTAAGATCACAAGAAGACAGTGTGGATGAAAGTGAATCAGAGTAAATATGGCATATTTGGATTTCCAAAAAAAAATTCAATTATCTGCCACAAAAAAAAAGGTTATGCAACAAGATAAGATCTCATGATGTTAGGCATGATACAAGAAGTGCAGAGGCTTAGATAGCTAACAGGAAACAAATAGTAAGGATATATGGGTCATTGACAGACTGGCAAACTAATAACGAGTAGAGTGCAGCAGGGATCAGTGCTGGAGCCTCAAATATTAGAAATAAAGTAATGATTTGGATGAAGGGCCCATACTATTGTAGCTAAATTTGCTAATGATATGAAGATTGGTAAGAAGCAATTTTTAAGTAGGGTACAAAAATTCATTGAAGAGATATGCATCGGTTAAATGCATGGGCAAATGTTTGGCAGATGGAACAAAATGTGGGAAAACCTGAGGTCCACATTGGTGAGAAGAAAAGAAGATCAGAATATTATTTAAATGCAGAATTGTGAAGTGCAAAGGGGCCTGGACGTCGTTGTAAATACAGTTATTAAGGCAGCAACTAGATCCCTGGCGTTGATTGCAAGGATGATTCTGAATAAAAGTAAGGAAGCTTTGCTATGACATTAAAAAATATTGATGAGACCACACCTGGATTATTGTGTACAGTTTAGACTCCTTACTTAAAGTACGATGTGCAAGCATTGCTAGCATTCACTCTCTGAAGACACTGGCAACTCAGATTACAATCTGCTGATCCAAGAGGTACAACCAAAACCTGGGCTGACTGAGGAGCAGTAATTTGCTGACTCTTTAACTTCCAGAATACTAAGTCCGTATTACCAATGGACTGTTCAGTAATGGAATCTTCATTCAGCTCAATACAGACTTATACTTGTCCTTCGCTAGGCGTGTCAAAGGTTCAACTTGTAGATTCCTGGTAAAGCTCAGGAATGCATTCAGACATATCCTTAGCGCTATCCTCTCCTCTATCCCTCTTCTATCCGCCTCCCACTCTCTCCCTATTTATTTCAAAACCCCCTTCCCCTCCCCCTTCTGATGAAGGGTCTAGGCCCGAAACGTCAGCCTCTCTGCTCCTATGATGCTGCTTGTCCTGCTGTGTTCGTCCAGCCCTGCACCTTGTTGTCTCTGCCATATAATGTATTGGGAGTAAGTAGAATAACTGTCCAAATAACTGGCTTCCAAATTCTTGGATGTTTATTAATCAGTTGAAAACTAAATGGCCCTGTGTGAATATTGGAAATGTACAAGAAAAATAGCAGTGAAAAGACACACTACAAATAGAAACAACAGACAAAGGAAAACTCCAAAAAGGATATAGAGGTGTTGTGGCTGGAGTGTCACCAACCTAGCGAATGCTTGTGCGTGGCCATAAGATACAGTATAAGACCATATGAAAATAGAAATGAGATCAGATTTGTTATGTCCAAAGAAGCAAGGGCTTAGACTTCCACATTGCATTCTGAGATTTCCAGAATTTCAGAAGCATAAATAAATACTGGAATCAAAAGAAGAAATACGTTAGACAGCAATTCTATTTAAGTCATAGGAATTTTATTTTTGCTCTTTCATCTGTTACTGTATTTCTTATAGATATTTTTCATCAACCTGTTTACAGATGTTATTACACACCTCTGGAGCAAGTGGGACTTGAATGTGAGCTGCCTGGTTCACAGCTGGGGGACCTAACACTGCACCTCAAGAGCCCCCCAGCTGTATCTCTTATATCCTGTGCTATTGTTCCTAAAATCATCCAAGGTTCTTCCAACTCAATTCTGTGCTACTCAATCCAATGTTTGTGTTCTTGCTATTTTGGGCATGTCCATCTATGCAAATCTTTGTGATTTTCTCTTTCCCTTTTCTGCATCATCTTTACTAGACCTCATGGTTCAAACCTATGTCATCTCTACTAATCCTCATGTTTCTCTATGTTTGAGGCTTCTATCCTCTGTTAATCCTCATGCATTTCTGTTCTTCAGTCCCAAACCATTTACGCTAATTGCTATGTTTCTCTGTTGTTCTGCCTGTGCTATATTTAATACTTGTACTCTTTTCTGTTCTTCATCACTGTGCTATCTGTGTTAATTCTCATACTTTCTAGTTCTTCAGATTGCGATCTCTGTGCAAAACATTGTTACAGCATTGTGCCTCATTCACACTGCTCAGCTAAACCTTCCTGTTCCGACTAATCATATTTTCTATGCCTCAGTACTGTAGATCGTGGCTGTTTGCAATTCTGCTCAATAAAATCCTGGTATATTGTTTTCCCCCACCTGCTGAAAACTATGCTTGACCTACCGTAAGTTTTCAGTGCTGAACTAGGTCTTTCTGAAATTTCCATTCACCAGAAACCTACTATCTCTGCTCATTAGACCAAAGGGCAGCTTCAGAGACCCCCAATATCTCACAGCCCTTTGAAATGTATATTTGGTCTCCAAATTGTTTATTCCTTATGGCAATTCAGCTACTCAATCAGGACAAATTTCAACTTCAGCTCAGCTTGAAAGTATCCAAACCTAAATTTCTTGTCCAGCATTCTTGTTGTTGCAAGCAAAACCTCAGAATCCAACACTATTCCTTTTGTTCCTGACAACAACTTGTAGGGTGATATTCCTATGAAACCTTAAGAAGAAGATTCAATGACGCTCAAACTCCTGGAAGAAAATCTCACTAGAGGAAAGCACCAATCTTTCAAAGGTGCACGATGCTAAGGAATACATTTTCAACCAGTGCTGGTGTTGCAAGTCCAACACCCTGATTTCCAATGCAATTGTAAAATCAGGAGGTTTCTGTAATTAATTGATTCGCTACAACAGTTTTAAAATTAGGTGGGAATTAGCCCCCACCTCAACAAAACTAGATTTCCAGAACTGCACTGCTCTCTAGTGAGCGCTTGTTCTGGATGTAAAACCTTCTCAAATTTTTACTCATCCTTATAAGATGTTAAATTGTAATACAGCAATAGGATAAGTAATGTTGAGTTTATAAAATGCTACTTCACAATTGCAAACTGTCTAGACAAGGAAAAACAACAGAGAACTATTGGCTCCCTAAATACCCAGGTATTTCAAAAAAAGTTTCAAACGTATAGGGTGAGATTTTATATGAATGTGGTGAGCAATAGTTGGAGATGCAGAAACATTGTGGAAGAAATTCAATGAGACCTATCTTGATGTCAGATGCATCTCATTGTATCTTTTTGTTTGAGATCCAGGCATTGAGTCGAGGTTACCTACTTGAGTAGCAAGTTACCTATTAAGGGGATTTATACCTTGTTAATGAACTTATTAACTACACATCTCACATCATTAATATGTAGTTTCCTTTGTACCACTCACTGTGAGCAAATGAGAAGCTGAGAATTCTTGACATGGAAGTCACAGTGAGTTCAATTCGCTCCTGGCTGCAAAGAGACTCCGTGTTGTTCACCACACAACAGCATCGTAGAGCATGGTCCATGGGCACTAGTTGCACGCACTGCTCATTCGCGGACATTGGCACCTGCTGTCTGCCAACTCCTCAGGAGTTGCACTTCTTTCGCCCCTACCTGCAGGATGCTTCCGAATTACAGACTTGCACTGCAGGGCACACTGGCAACTAGCATTGACAGGCTACTGCAGTGACACATTGCAGGAACAAGCACCCAGCTGACGGGCTGGGCCAGACCACATCAGAGGGCTGCTTGCTTGCTCTCCTTCCACTCGCTGACAAAGTGCCTATCTGTATGCTCGCAGCATCCATATTTTGCTTTGCCTTGCCTTGCCAGGCCAGTTTGTGGATCAGCAACTCAGCCAGAATCTAATGGCTATCAGCATTGCCATACTGATGTGTTCTTTTATGCAAACACACAGAGAGGCTGCTGGTTATGCTTGACAGTAGGAAACTGGGCTGGAGTGGAACACTTTGCTGTGTGGTATTGCGACATCAATCTATGGCAAATGCACTGCATGTTTATTCAATTAAATAGCCATATCAGAAGGTAAGCGGGTCCTAGTCACGAGCACAGTCCATCTGCAAACCAAACTTTGTACTTGGTGCATTCAGCAATATGGACAGTGATAATAAGTGAGGCTGCTTTAAGGTGATGCAGAGAATTGTTGCTGCAGTTCCAGATGATATAGGGCATTTATTTGGGGTAATGTTCATCACAATGACATTGAAGAAGTTCAACACTGATTTACAGATACATGGGTAAAGATTCAGTGAAAGAGAGAGTGAGGGAAGTGCAGAAATGAGAGGTGCTGCAGAGATAACTGTAAGCAGCCTTGGTGAGAGAGTGCGTGGGTTGAAGCTCAGGTCAGACTTACCTGCAATATACCTTATGGGTATGATAGAAAATAGCATTGCGCAAGTACATAATTATGTTTTATCTTCAAACCGAGAAGTGAATCGGAAGCCTAACTGCCTTGAATTTAGCCATGTCCTGACTTTTAAGCAATTTATATAAGAACAATTTGAGAAATAATTAATGATTTTTTTTATCTCAATCAACTAATGTAACAAATACATAATGGCTGGTGCAGTCTGACTATTTCATGACTGTGGTCCATCTATTGTCAGTCTGATCAACATGTCAAAATATAACCTTGCCAAGACATTCTTGGGATTATTTGAAAGTTCACAGTAGCCCATTTATTTCTCTAATTTATAGCAGAGTTAAACAAACAGGAATTAAAAATATGTCATACAGTTAATTACAAATCTGATTCTGACAGATTTGAAAGTTTGATTTTAGTTATGGTTAACTTTGTACTTACTGTTCTCCCATCCGATTATAGTGGGGCACGAAGAGTGTTGCGTAGCACGGGATTGCGATTCAGCCCATACTATAAGTGGAGGGGAGAATGGTAGTATAAATGTTAGAACATATGTCATCTGTCAACAAATACTGTGAAATAATAAATTTATGAACACACATTAAATAGAAATATCCTACAGCATCTTATAGATTAGTGCATTTTTTTGGCGTTTTGGAAGTGTACCTACAAGAACAATATTACAGAGGTCTATATATAAAGCTCTCAAGCAAAAATGCAATGTTTGAAACATTGTAAGCAATATCACATGGTCCATAACAGAATGACCTCAGTAGTTAAAGACATGAAGATGTATTTGAATATTGTATTTCCAAAATAGTCCATTGGTCCAATTTTCATGTGTCTGTCGAAGCAAAGTACATACAGAGTTTATTGCTGATAGAATTCACGGACTGGGACAAGCCATAGCTGTTTTTTCTGAAATTCTGGCTATGAACGGTGTTTATGAGTTATGTATTTGAAAGCATGTGACCTGGAGAGTAGCTTTAGCTTTAGCCCTTTAGCTGTTAAAATTTCCAGAATGTTGCTTTTGAAAGATTGAACTATAGTCAGTTGCAACCAGGCAGAATGAGATGGATTTAGTACAGAGTTCAGTACCAATGTGTAAATTAAGTGTGTTGGCTCACAGCACATAGGAGATAGTAGTAAGTACTTTTGGAGTTTAAATTTTGCATATAGACATATAAATATGAGAAACCCTTTCACCATCATTCCACAAAATGTCAGTTTAACTCAAAAGTGACATGAAATTACTCCTGGATTTTCATAAGTCTTTTGATTTTTATACAAGCAGTGTCACTTCAGTAACTCACTGAGTTAAATGTGTATTGTACTTTGAAGTACTTGTATGTACATCACACTTTCCACAACCACAGGGTGTGTCAAAGCACTTTATAGCCAGTTTTTGAAGTGTAGTCACTGTTGCGAAGCCAAAAGCACAGTAGTCAGTTTGTACACAACAAAGATCCATAAACAGCAATGTGAATAACGAGCCAATCGTTTGCTTCCAATTTTTGGTTCAAGGAAAACTATCGGCTGGGACACAGGCAGAGCTCCGCTATTCTTCCATGTGAAATTTCAACCCAGTTCAGAGGGCAGACAATGTCTCAGTTTAGCAACCTATCTACAAGAATGCCCCACTGAGAGTGCAGCTTTCCATTACAACTGAGCTTGCCAGCTTATATTCCTACTCAAGTCTCTGTTACTGAGGCCACAACCGACTGAGTTAATACTTCACACAGTTGCCATGCTTGGTCACCAGAAGTAACATGTGGTTGTTTGCACATTCTATTTAATTCAAACAAGAAAAACTGGATAAAAAAGGGTCAAAGAAAAAAGTAGGAAAATATTTACTTACTTCCAGTTGGAATCAAGTCCCTGTCAGGGATGAACAATTTGTACCCATAATGTTTCTCTAGCACATCTGGTAAAATCTCCAGTGCAAAACGTTCTTCCTCTGTGGTTTCTTGGTTCCACTGATCAGGGTCGACTTTGGTGTATGACAGGTATGCATCGTAATCTTTGTTCTCTGAAAAATAATTTACCTACTTTTTAACCTGAGTGAACTCTAATATTTTCCATTGCCATTATGCTGTTCTCACTTCATGAACAAAAAATGCCATTCAAAAGAATCAATTGATCAGTCAATCCAATAACCTCAAAATAATTGTTCTAATACAGAAATGACAAACAGCATTTTTTGTGAAAGATATAGTGAAAATATCAATGCTCTGAGTTAGAAATGTTAACATGTTTGAAACAGAAAATACACATCATCAGTCATTTCACAAAAAGAAATTCGTACGATTTCTTTAATTATTCAACATGTTCCCCCCAATGTTTTAGACTTTGACCTCAAGGATACACAGTTACTTTTATGGAGTCCACCATAGGATAGGTTATAGATTTTTTCAAATCAACCTGTTCAGAGATGTTCTTGAATGCTGGCCTCCTGCTCGGAGTTTAGAGACACTACAACTGTGCCATAAGAGCCCACATAGGTATATGATACATTTGTGCAAACTGGATGATAATGAATCAAATCAATGGAAATAAAAATTAGGTGACATATAAAATAAGCTATCAACTTGCTATCACCCACATGACATTTTGTACAAAGAGAAATTGAACCCCTAATACATCTGTGATCCAAAAACAAGTTTAATAAACTCCCAAATGATCAACTAACTGAAAAACTGAAGCAATGCAATATCTTGTTGATGCCACCCATTCTACATTTAAACGTCAATTCAAACTGAAATAGCTAAAATGCAATATTTTTAAAGCTGGCTTCCACTAAACTTTGCCCAGACTGAATTAAAATATGTCAAATGGCATATAGTTCTGATTGGTCGTTGAAGTAGAAGGTACAACTGTTATTAAATTAATTATTTTCAGATAAATATATATAACCTCAAATACCTAGACTGTGTCATATTGCTCTATTGAGATAAGTCAAAATAACTTGATCAATTTATTTTAACGGATCTGCCTAATGAAGAACGTATTGACATTTGCAAACAAATGAATTCATCTAATGTACAGCAACTAATCAGCAGAGACAACTGCTGCTCATACATTTATTGCAGTGATTCACAATTGGTTCATTGCATGCTGTGTCTCAACATGAACTAATATTCTAATTTCTCCTCCAAAAGCCAGCTGCACTTCAGGTTTTAAGCAGGACTATATACTGACATCTTAACTACATCTGAGCTTCAATTAATTATTTGGTAACATTTTATGCATCGGTTCAAATACATCAAGTCAAAATTATCTCTATATTAGGAAAAGAATGACTTTTGTACCATTTAGTTTATTATCTTCCTCCTTGGTGCTGTTCAACATTACAACTTATGGATTTTAGTAACTAGTGTTAGGGGCAAAGGAAATATAATATTTGCTGATGATAATCGCTTATAATGTTTAATGATTTGTTATGCCCGGTAGTATTTTTACAAAATGAAGAAAAAAACTAAAATAAAGGGGTAATCATCCATTTTGCTGTTAACATGACTATTTTAACCTAAACCTCCTTGGGGACAATTTCACACATACACAGGAAGTGTATGTAAAGTTGGTAAGATCTTCATTGTATTTACCCAAATCTCCCATCCAAGTCCCCAACACTTATAGGTTCTGGTATCTTCATATTTTAAATAAGAAATTATTAATACATTTATACTTGTTATGCAGCTATTGCAACACAACATAAAAACAGACAGAATTTGTTTTTCATAAAAAAGGACCATTAATTCCATTGCATTTTGCCAAGTCATGCTATCATAAGAATCCAGACAATTTAGTGATATGACTCTCATGAATCAGTCCTTACCTCCATCTAGTTCATCTGCTCCAAAATGATTGCGATAAAATAGCATAATATCTATCTTATAGCATTTGTACAGAGTCACCAGACAGACCAGCAGCAGAAGGATAGCCCCCAATCCACCCGCAAGTTCCACGGTGTACATCAGTTCTGGGATGAAAGAAAACAAGGTCAGCTGGGTGATATACACAAAATTGGCATTATCTGCAAATAAATTATGTATTGGATATGCATTTCTTCTCACATGTAGTTATCAATTATATTCTTCTGTTTTAAGAATTAAGTGAAATTTGGAATATTCCCATGGAGAATTAATTCAACCAATTTTTGCCTTTAGTTTTGCATTAACTTCTCAAAGGTACACTCCTCTTTGAGAATATTGGACACAGCAAAGCTATATGACACAATTAACAGTTCTGCACATTTGTGCTCTTAGAAATTATGCCAAACACTCAATTCCTTTGAATCTGATTTCTTGGGCATCACCATCCGTTTTCTAACCCCAATATTTGCAGCCATTCCCTAAGTTGCCTGGGCTGAGTGCTCTGCAATTCCTTTTGCGAGTTTCTACCTCTCTTCCTATTGCAAGATCTTCCTTATTTATAAAAGGGACTGGTAGATGTTCCTCCCAGCCAGTGTAACTTTTTGATCAATTTTGCGAATTGGAAAGATTCTCTCCACACTCACCCCTCCCTGAATTGGCCTTGGCTTTTTACAAAACAAAACATTTTTTTACCCTCTCCTGGAAAATTGTATAGGTGGAGTGGGGGGAGAGTGGGGTGGTAGTGGTTACAGCTGCATGTGCTATTTTGGATGAGGAGAAATGTAGACAATACAGATGCCTGCAGCAAATGGACTGGAGGGAACTTGCGGTCCATGAAGGAGAGCAGTACTTTCTAGTAATAACCCTCAAGAGTAAAGCAATGCAGAATTGACGCTGCAGATTGTGCAGCTGCTAAAAACCTGCTTTCAGAAGCATATTCTAAAACATGTTACATAGGTAACGAAATGGGAAAATATCTGTATGAAATAATGCTCTAGCCAGACTAAAGGGATAACTTTTCTGTGGCAAAAAGTAGGCTGCCATTGAGTTCCTAACACAGAAGCATGAGTGTTGGATGTTATCTATTTCAGGCACACTATTAGCAATAGTTGCATGAACAACTATACTAACTTAATTACAATAAATTTCAGTTGATTTGTCTGGCTGCACCGTGGATATAATTAGTTACAATTTTAGAGATGGGTTGAATATATCTTTATGATGTTATACGTAAACTTTCTGGTACGTAAATTGCTGCGTGAAACTGATTTTATGGAATGTTAACTAATTTCAATTATTTTCTCGTTCTCCCAGTACCCTGTACTATCAGGAGTTACAGGTTAGATGAACATCTTGCTCTTTGGCCTCCAGCAAAACTTAACAGAGATGAGGTTTAGCAATTCCCATTTACCTGAAGTATAAAAACTTAAAAATGGCAGAGTTATAACAGTTTTCTCAACTTCACAATGTATGAAAGCACTTCAGCTTTAATGAAGTACTTTTAAAGTGTAGTCACAGTTTCAATGCCAAAAAGGCAACTCCTAATTTGTACACAGTAGTCTTAAAAAAACCCAATATTTTTAATGTTGGTTAAAGAATAAATTTTGGTCAGCACATTGTGGAGAACTCCCTGCTATTCTACAAAAAGTGCTATGAAATTGTTTATACTCACCTGAAAGAGCAGGTTGGTCTGGATTTAATGAGTTTTCTGATCAATAGCACCACTAATAGCTCAGCACACATTCAGCATTGAACTGGAATGTCAGTTAAGATTTCTATTTCCAAATCTCTACAATATCTCTTGAACCCACAACATTCTGACTTAGAGGCAAGTGTATTACCCTAACAAGCTACAGCTGACATAGTTTATATTGCTTTCCCTTGTTCCTTTGTGTCCTTCTGAGCGTGAGGAACTTTTCAGGTTTTTGTACTGCATACTTTCATACTTTCAAGTATACTTTCAAATATTCAGTTTAATGTTGCTATAGTATGGTTTGAACTGTTTTCTCTGTTTCCATTTTAATAAAACAAATCAAACAATGCCTAAACAAGAATGCATTGTGGATCTGTTTACGCCGACTTATGAAGAAAGTGTAACAGGGTAGTTCTTCCTTCAATCATTCCTCCAGCCTGTTGAGAAATACCAATCGTCCAGATGCTGACTTTAGCAGCGAGGAGAAACTCAGTGAGAAGAATTGTTGACATGCATTTACACTCTCCGACTATATTACATAGCACAGAACATTTTATGTTAATCTAACATCACTGTCTTGGCTGCAAAATGCCATCAGCTGGTTTAGTCTGGTTTCACACACAGATAGATTGACATTCAAATGAACTCATTCCAATACAAGCCTAACATCTTTGCAGAATGTCTCACTTAAACTCTAGCTGAACCTAATACACTTTCATTCTCAATTAAACCACTTTCAAAAGCCAATTTGAATGCACCATTAAGCATGTACTACTCTGTACTGAATCTCCAGGATCACTAACTATCAGATTTTACACATTTATAACTCTAAACTAAAGCACAGTAAATAGTGAAACAAATTAAAGTATTTGTAAACAAAACATTAAAATTCAGTCTTTATAACTTGCATTAGGAAACAGCAAAATTAGTACAGTATAGGATATAATATATTATTGTATTATTGAACAGATTTTATAATTTTAGTAGAACTATTATATACAAATGTATCATATTTGTTATTCCAACAATTTACTCAATTGTTAATGAATAACATATTTGCACTTCTCTGCCAACATACAATTATTTAAATCTTTAACCCCCTGAAAATTTAAACAATGCACTTTCAGTCATGTTATTTGTAGTTGAAATATACTCTGACTATGGGGGTGGTTAGGTCAGTTTGGCTCGAAGGTTGGTTTGCAATGCAGAGTGATGCCAACAACATGGGATCAATTCCCATACTATCTGAGGTTACCATAAAGGTGGCACCTTCTCAACCTCTCCCCTTGCCTGAGGTGTGGTGACTGTCAGGTTAATCTCACTACCAGTTGTGTCCCTCTAGTGAGAGAACAGCCCTGTGGGACTATGGTTAAATTTATGTTTTTACTGCCTGATTATCCAGCAGAATGCTAGCTCCGAAGCAATCAATCCCAGAAACTATGTTTGTTAACCACTATGTGGAATTTCCAGTGTCTTTATGACATAGGCAACAGTGGGAAAGTTGGGAGAATACAGCAAGAATGAGAAATTGACATGCTCAGCAGCAAGAAAAAAAAACAAAAGAATGGTAGATTCTTGAAATCAGAAACGAAAACAGAAATTGCTGGATTAAAACTCAGCAGGTCTGACAGCAACTGTGGAGAGAAATCAGAGTTAATGTTTTGGGTCCAGAGACCCTTCTTCTGAACTGATGCATTAAACATCTAATATTTACCTAATCTCACCTCATTTATCTACAGATTGCTATTTGCCCAGGTACTGGTGAGAGACTAGACGGTGCCAATGTCTGTCTTAGAAGTCAGAGTTTACTGCGTGGCTGTAGCGCACTGGCCAGAAGTTCCCAACATCTCACTACACACTCCATGGTCAGTGACTGCCTGCACCCTTTATCCATGGAAGTGCACATTGGCAGAGCACCAGTTACATCAAATCATTATGGTACATTTCAGACTAACTTATAAACAGTTCAACATTTGAGACTGTACTGTGGGATTTATCAACACCTTACATTGCAATGCTCGTGCCAGGCTAGTTTGCATGTGGTGTCATGTATCTACGTTATGTATTGGGATAAGATACATCTCTGGGCTCTTAGCTCACTTTGCCAGGGCTCAGTCACTTTGCACTGAGCTGGACGCTCACAGCATTTCTCTGTTGCCTGACCTTTTATTGCATTGCTACTTCAATCAGAACTAACAGGTTCACAGTACTTGCATCCTGTCTTGCCTTTTGGACTGAAAGCCAGGCAGCTTGTCATGTTTCCCAGCACTGATCCGTCTAGCGGGTAAACATGTTGGTGTATGGCACCATGCAAAGTCAATGTCACACCTACAGCATGTACCTGCCGCTTGAGTGGCAAACGCACTGCACGTGCTTCCACCAAAAGGCCACACCCGAGAATATAATGGGAGCAGTCTGGAAGTCTGAAACAAACACAGAGAATGCTGGAAAAACTCAGCAGGGCTGGCAGCATCTGTGGAGAGGGAAACAAAGATAACATTTCGAGTCCGGAAGATTCTTCTTCGGAGTGACACTGTATCCTGCATCTGTTCTGTTAACAAGACAGCATTCGACAGGCACATTGATGTAAATATGGGTATTCAACGGCATTTTTCCATATTTCAATGGGATCCTTTTTAGCGTCAAATAGAGATTTCAGAATATTATCTTCTGTGAGCTCAATCAATTCCATCTGTAAGTCATCACATGCTTTGGAGACATCAACCAGGTGTGGTTGAAAAGCTAGTTTCAGTGTGAGATAACATAGTGTGGAGCTGGGAGGAACACAGCAGGCCAGGCAGCATCAGAGGAGCAGGAAAGTTGACGTTTCGGGTTAGGACCCTTCTTCAGAAAAAGATTTTTTCTGAAGAAGGGTCCCAACCCGAAACATCTGCTTTCCTGCTCCTCTGATGCTGCCTGGCCTGCCGTGTTCCTCCAGCTCCACACTGTGTTATCTCTGACTCCAGTATCGGCAGTTCTTACTATCTCCTGGTTTCAGTGTGAGATCATGTTTCTCAAAATCTGCAAACTTTCATTGTATTCTTCAATCAAGGAGTCTAGAACAGCTGTATATTCTTTCACAAACAAAAACAAAGTTGCTGGAAAAGCTCAGCAGGTCTGGCAACATCTGTGAAGGAGAAAACAGAGTTAATGGGTCCGGTGACCCTTCCTCAGAACGTGTATTCTTTCATGTTGCATTTTCTAAATGATTTGCTTGTATCCTGTTCATTAATTACCTTTACCAGTTCAGGAGAGTGATCAGCTGAAAGTTCTGTTCGGGTAAGGAGAGTTTTGAAAAAGGTCAGCTTTTTCTGAAATGTCTGGATTTTTAGCCACACGTCACATATAGATTTGGTTTTACCTTGCAAAAAAAATCAGATAATTTTGCTTTGACATTATATCACACAAAAATGC